CAAATAAAATATGTCTTGGATCTGTTAAAGGAAACAGGGATGCTAGGCTGTAAACTGGTAGACACACCGATGGACTTCACAACAAAGATAGGAGACAAGAAAGATGGAACTCCGGTTGATATTGGGAGATACCTGCAACTAGTTGGAAAGCTCATCTATCTTTCCCACACCAGACCAAATATTGCATTCGCTGTGAGTGTTTTTAGCCAGTACATGCATGCTCCCTGCGAAGAGCACATGGAGGTTGTACTCCGAATCCTAAAGTACCTCAAAGGATCGCCTAGTAAAGGTTTTTTTTTCAACAAAAATGAGTCCAGGAGTATCAAGGGATTCACTGATGCAGATTGGGCAGGTTCTATTGAAGACAAGAGGTCTACTTCAGGGTATTGCACATTTGTATGGGGCAATCTGGTTACTTGGCGAAGCAAGAAACAAACAGTTGTGGCCCGGAGTAATGCTGAGGCTGAATTTCGAGCCGTGGCTCACGGTATTTGTGAAATGCTATGGCTGAAACTATTGCTTGAAGAATTGGAAATGAAAATGAATCTCCCTCTAAAGATTTACTGTGATAATAAGGCAGCCATAAGTATTTCTCACAATCCAGTCCATCATGATCGGATAAACACTTTATCAAAGAAAAAATTGAGGACGGTATACTATGCATAACCTATGTGTCTACTGGTAATCAAGTTGCATATGTACTAACAAAAGCTCTAGCTAGGAAGATGTTCAAAAGACAGATTGACAAGCTGGGCATGTTCAATCTTGGAAACCAACTTGAGGGAGAGTGTTGACAAATCTCCCATTTCTGGTTTCCTATTTTCTAGGGATTTGTTTCCTATTAGGTTGTGTTTAAATGAAGGGATAAGGAAGGTTGTTTCCTATTATCTCTCTAGTTTTAATTCTGTGATTTATCCCTTAAATTAAGAGATTATTGGTTTCTACAATCGTGGAAAATTATTGACAGATTTACGTTTCTCTATATAAGCCCTTTACCTTTCACGTAATAAAGTATGAGGAGAAGTTTCTTCTATTCCATTTTTCTTCAAACACACTACAATCAATACCCAGATGCCCATATTCAAATTTACATGCCAGTCAACTGGAACTAAACAAAACATTTATTTTCCCAACTATTTCAATCGGTAAACAAAAGTAAGTGAAAACATAAAGAGCACAAATTACATATTCAGCCACTAAAAATTAAAACTAAACACCAACTAACCTAAGCACACTCCATACTTTAACTTTAAACAGAAGAAAATGGAAAGACTTAGAGAGAGAAGTAGAACAAACCTCAAGTTATTTATAGGAACCGAAACGAAGGGCTTTAAGAAAAGGGTTTGTGACATTCTGGGTCTCCGTCTAAATGGGAATTGGACAAAGTTTCAGTAAGGATTTCGGTGTAAGAAGATGTTACGCGAATTTGATTTTTGCGTTTCAGGAGGAGGAAAAAAAATCTTATCGAGTACTACTATGTGGGGCCCTTGCTGCTCCTCTTTGACAAAAAATACGGTATCTAACGGTGGCGGACTGGAGGAGGAAAAAACATTTTGTCCTTAAAAAATGTTTGTTATTTCACTAATATTTCGAAAAAATTTCGTTAATTTTATTTTAATATTGAAAATCAAAACTATTAAAAAAATAAGTTTAGAGAATAATCTTATAAAATTTTTAAAGGATCAAAGTATACTAAAAAAATTTTATTTGCATGTAAATATAGTCATGTTTTTTTACGTAACAAATAAATCGGATCAATTTCATCTATGACTTATGAATTTTACGGTTTTTCCCACTTTATTATCAAATTTTAAAAAATTCTTACTTTTTTTAAAATTTTGAATTAGTCCACTTAACTTCTATTAGATTTTTAATTAAAAGTTGATGGAAAAAAAAAAGAAGAAAAATCAATTTCACTTAGTTAATTTATGTCGAAAACAAACAGAAAAGACCATATAATCACACTTAATGTCTTATTTTTCCATTTATTTCCAACAAAATTCTAACAAAGAGAGTTAAGTGAGACTAATCTAAAATTCAAAATTGATATTGATAATTTTTAAATTTTAATAGGCAAAATAGAAATGACTTTATAATTAAAAAACACAAACGAGAATAATCTAAATAAATGAAATGATCATTGCCCAATATAGAATTTAAAAACGTTTCATAAAGGAAAAGTGCTTAAGGCACCACCATTAATACAAGATAGACTCTACTTGTGAGTCCTATGCTACAAGATCCATTTCTTCATAATAATAATAGTATATGGTTAAATTTTATATCTCGAGTTGAAATTTAGTAAAATTTTCAAAATATTATGAAAATAGCAAAAATAATTTATTCATTCTCATAACGATATAATGTATTGTATAATATAATGACATAATCATTATTTTAATGATATCAAATTTTATTATTTTTGTAATATTTCTAAACTTATACTAAATTTCAACTTTACTATTTAACAAAAATTAATGATATCAAATTTTATTATTCTTATAATATTTTAAAAAATTTACTAAATTTCAACTTTACTATTTAAAATTTGCGATATGTGTTTTTTTTTTGGCTAAATGCCATGCTGAAAGTAATTTTTTTTTATTAATAAGCACGACCATTACGTTATAGGATTGTTCTTTCAGAAAGTTAAGGGCAAAAAAAAAATGTGGAAAGACACTTTATTAGGAATGGTTACAGCAGTGCCTAGTTGTGGACTGCTATTTATAGGGTTCAATTCAGCGGTGATGAAGGTGTTATGGTGAAGGTCTACTAGATCTTTTAATTTGGTATGTATATACACAACATTTTTCTTATTTCATATCAACAGAGATGCAAGAATGGGTCGCCCGGCCCGTTCTTCTTAGGCCCACGTGGGCTGTGGGCCGGGCCGGGCCGGCCCACAAATTATGTGGGCCAGGCCGGGCCGGCCCACGAATTATGTGGGCCAGGCCGGGCCGGCCCATATACAAATTACCTCAGCCCAGCCTAGCCCACGTGCCAACTTTACGTGGGTCAGGCTGGGTCGTGCCCCATCTTGACCCATCATGGGTTTAGATGGGATAGCCCATCTATACATGTAATTTTTAATTTTTTTTATTTTTAAATAAGTTAACAAAAATAAAAGTTTGAATAGTCAATGGGAATATGAAAAGATATATTTTATTTACGATTGCATCATTAAAAACATTTCTAAGAAAAACTCAGTGAGATAAAACCTTAGTAAGGAAAAAATAGCACAATCGGGATAATTATACATAAGATGTTTACAAAATTACTACAAAGAAAAAACATGAAAACATAAAAAAAATAGATATTGTTCGTAATTACAATGTATTACTCCCAGTGGGAGTATCAGAAATGTCTAAATTTTTAAAATCATCAACCCAATCATCTTGAACTTGTTGGCTTCTTATGCGAGCGTCCTCCCAATCTTTGATGCACATTACTGCCTCCAGAATATCGCCACTCAAGCGTGCACGTCGTTCATCAAGTACTCCACCACTTCAACTAAATACTTGTTCACTTGCAACTGTGGACACTGGTATGGTTAGTATATCACGTGCCATTCTAGAGAGCACAGGAAAAGTTCTTGACTGTAATCTCCAAAATGACAAAATATCAAACTTATTGAAATCATGACCACCACCTTGCTCATTGAAAATGAATGCTGCAAAATTTGTTTCCAGATAGTTTTCCAATTCACTACGTGCTGAAGATGTGGATGACGCACCGAAACCAAATCCAGTGTAGCTAATCATACTTTCCCATGAAGAACTATGTGGTACAGATGTAGTACTCGCTAAAAGTGTAGGGGACATTGTTTGGCCTCCTCCATATTTTTCATTATATGCAGTAAATAAAGTTTTAACTTTTACTTGCACATTTTGAATGGTTATGATGTCAGAATGCACCTTCAGTTTTTTTCCTATACCCTTAAGCAAATATTCAACACCAGCTAATTTAATTCTTGGATCCAATACAGCGGCTACGCAATACAAAGGTGGAACACGCCCCTAATATTTTTTAAATTTTTGTTCCATGAACTCAACAGATTCCCTAAACAAGTCAAAACCTCTATGCATATCGAAGGTTACAGCAATGTCGTACAATTTATGTAATGCATGAGGAGAGGTGGGATAGTACACACCTGAGAGTTGGAGAATGGCTTCATAAAAAACCTTCAAGAAATTATAGAAGCGTGAAGCAATTTGTCAATCAATTTCTTAAAGCGGCTCAGTTGGATTCTTCAAGTTGTAATACGCGATTATGACCTCTTTGTATGGTAGGCATGCGTTCAACATCAAATATGTTGAATTTCATCGGTGTCCCATGTCAGTAGGAAGTTTTCTGGGTTTCATGCTTGCTCTCTTGCAAAGTTTAGCAAATTCTTCAATTCGAGAGCCAGAACTTACTATGTAACCCAAGGTCATTCGAATATTTTCCAAATAACCTTGAAAAAATTTCATGCCATCTTGAATACACAAGTTAATAATATGACAATCACATCTTTGGTGAAAAAGTGTTCCACCATGTTGTGGTTTCAAAGTTGTCTTGAAAAGGTTTATCGCAGCAGTATTAGCAGATGCATTGTCAAATGTGATGCTCAAAACCTTTTTTTTAATGCCATAAAAATTAAAAACTTCCATGATGACATCATGAATGGCCTTGGCATCATGTGGATAAGGCATTAATCGAAAAGCAACTAACCTTTTTTGAAAAGACTAATCTTTATCCACATAATGTGCCGTTACACAAATATAACTAGTTTTGGTGCAACCTTCCCACAAATCAGATGTGCATGCAACAGATGCAGTGAATGAACTAAATTTATTAATAAATTTCCCCTCATTGAATGAAAAACTTTCATAGTGTCAGCTCTTGTGGTAGTTCTTGAAACATGCCTATATTGTGGATTACAAGCATTTTGAATGTACTCCTCAAAGGCCGGATCATCACCAAGACTAATTGGTTGTTGAGCACTAGCCAAATATCTAGTGTGCCATTCTCTAACTCTTTGTTGGTCATATGACCAATTGGTAACACTACCATCAGAGCTAAATTGAAGTGTTTGTTGACGACAATCAACACCACCTACATCATGCTTAGCTTCGCACTTTTTGCGATGCCTCTCTAAGTGACCAGTTCCAGAAGAGGATTTACTTGTGTAGTCTTGTTTACATACTTTGCAAATTGCACGTTCTTCTGTTACACCATTCTCATTTTTACGCATTACTAAATCAAAATAACTCCCAACTGGTGAAGTTCGTTGCATTTTTCTTTTACCTTTATGAGTCACATCAGAGGAGCCACAAACTTAAGATAGTGAGTCAGCTCCAATTTCTTCAAGTGAATCATTAAATTGTTCTTCTTCATTGATCGCCAAATTTGAAACATTGGTGCTCCTTCCATGTGCTGATGTCATTACTTCAATAAAAAATAACAATAAATTAACATAACACTATCAATAAAAATTAAATAAGATAATTACACAATAAAATAAATTTATACAAATATAAAATTAATGAACAACAAATGAAATAAATTATACCTTTAAGTTTTTTTTTTTCCTTTCAGAAGAACTGTAAACTAATAAAAATAGAAAATGCGTAAAATTTGAGAAGTTAGTTAAGAGCATACTCAAATGTAAAGTTTCCACGGCTATATATAGGCAAAAATTAGGATGGAAGCACGTCCGTAACGTTCAAAAGCCAAAAATGATAAAGAAATTGGACAAAAACTGACAATACATTGATAAGACTTACGGGTAAAAAATCCAAGTTTTATTGCATGTAACCTATCACTTCATGCAGTGCCATATCAGTCTCTCTTTCCCATGCACGCAACCCCACTCTCTCTTTCCCACGCACGTAACCCCTCTCTCTTTCTCTCTTTCCCACGCAACACCCTCTAGCCTCTGACTTTTTTCTCTCTTTCCCAGGCAACAACAGCAACTCCCTCTCTCTTTCTCACACAAAATACTTATTATATATATATATTAAATGTATAGTCATTTGACTCTTTCTCACACAAAATACTTATTATATATATATATATATTTTAAATGTATAGTCATTTGATGTGCACCTATCCATATCAGTACTTTAAAAAATTGTTTCCCACGTCACGCACCAACACCCTTTTTCTTTTCTCTCTTTCTCAGCAACAACTCCCACTTTTTTTCTCACACAAAATAATTATTATATATATATATATATTAGATGTATAGTATTTTGATGTGATAACACATGAATTACAGTATCAATTTTGTTTCTTAGAATCAAAACACGCCCATCAGTAATTTGGTTGGGCCGGCCCATTGTGGGCCTAGACAGGCCCGTCTGGGCCGGCCCATTGTAGGCTTAGACGGGCCCGTTTGGGCCGGGCCATTATGTACCTAGATGGGCTGGGCTGGGCCGGCCCAGCCCAGCCTAAGCCCGACCTGACCCATGATTTTTCATGGGCCGATATATGTTGGCTCAGCCCAGCCCGCCAATATTTATAGGCTGGGCTGTGCCTTGAACAGTACCGGGCCGTGCCGTCACTATGTCAGGATGGGCCTGGGCCGGCCCACGGGCCCCTGCCCATTGTTGCATCTCTACATATCAGCACTTTTTTAGCACTCTTATTCATATCCTAATGAGATTAAAACATCGCTATTCGTACAAAGTAAATCTCGCTAAATAGAATAAGACACAGTATTTTGAGTGCATAGAATTTTATCCAAATAAATATAATTTTTTTTTACATTTTCCTTAACAAATGGTTCTATGACATCGAACAAGTTAGTTACCTAACTGCAATCTTCCCCCTTCTTCTACTTTCCTGAAGTCCACTAGATCTTAATTTAGTATTGTATATACATAGCATTTTTCTTATTTCAGATATGCACCTTTTTTTTTAATTATACTCATTTTCATAAATATTCCCTAAATTATGTATCGTATTTTAAATTACCCCGACCTCAACTTTTTAAAACAGTCCAAACCACTCCTGATATATAGAATACTGTTTAAAATACCCCTTCATTAGTTTCGATAGTAGTATAGATATAATTGAACAGAATGAACATTTTCAATTGTTTTTTATATATTAATAGATGTTTTGAACTGTTTTAAAAAATTGAAGGCACTTTAAAATAAAGTACATAATTTGGAAGGCATTATGAAAATAATCCTAATATTTTGACCATAATATCTATCTACATAACTGAATCCCAATCCATTTTTTCTAGGAGATACATGTTTTGGCAAAATGTTTTTTTTCCTCATACTCTCCACCGTTTTTATTTTCTTGCACTTTCCACCAAACTTCTTTTCTTTTCTTTGTTTTACTTTTCACTTCATTCTTTCTTTTCTTTTTTTTTAACTTCCTCTATTTTCCCGCTCTTCTTTCTTTTTTAATAATTTTTATCTTTTATGTCTAAATATACATTTTTTTCTTTTTTCTTTAAATTGACCCTCATAAATATATTTTTATTTTTAATTTTCTGTTTAAATAATTTTATCTCGTACTTATCCATGTCTTATTTAAAAAAAAAAATCATGTTTCTATGATAAAACTTTTGTATGAGAGTTTTGCTATTGTTTTTTATTTTTAATTTTCATTCCTTTTTCTCTCTTTTCTTTTTTTAGTTTTCCTCTTTTTTTTTTTTTTCATTCTTATTCTTCTTGTCTTATTATATATATAGATATATTTTATATCTAAATGAGACCCTAATAAATATGTCTAAATGAGACCCTAATAAATATGTTTTTCATTCTTACATATAGAATGCTCGCAGTTTCAACGAGTAATATTATCACTGGTGTTCCTAAACTTTAAGTTTATCTTCAGTTTGCCCCCTAAATTTTAAAATTATCATATTTCTCCATGAACTTTGAATTGTTCCCACTTAACTTTTTTTGTTGTAATTTTTGATAAAACATATAAGAAAAAATAGGGTAATACAATTACGCGCTCTTTCTTTTTGAATTTTTGTTAAAATCAAACAAATAAAAACTAAATGACTACCCTTAACTCCCTTTTTTCCATCTAATTTTACGAGTTGTTTCTCAAAATTGGACTTAAACGGGATAAATTTAAAATTTAAGAGACAATAAATTTTTAAAGTTTAGAATGTAAAATGAGAATGACTCTAAAGAAAAAATACTATTAAAAGTATGTTTAGTTAGGAGGAATGAAATGGGAAGGAAAGATCATTCTGATCATCCCATTGTTTGGTTGCTTTATTTCGGCTAAGAAAGGCTTTCCGTTGGAAAGCTTATTCACTCAATTTGAGTGAATCCTCATTCACGTGGGGGTGACTTGAATGGCCTTTCCATTCAGCCCTCTTATTGTTTTCCCCAATTTGGCCCTCGTCCCCCCTCGTCCCCGATCAAAAGAAAAAGAACTCTAGCCGCATCTCCCCTCGATCACGACTCCAACTGAGGCCAGCGCAGACACTTGACGGACGGAAGGTCGATCGACTGTTGACGCCGACAACGAGAAACGACCGCAGGTACAATCTTCCCTCTTCTTCCTTCGTGGTTCTTGGAGATCCCTCTGTTCTGGCTTCGTTTTGATTTTTTGAAATCTTCTCTCATTTTCGTTCTGGATCCGTAATCAAAGCCCTAACATTGTTTCTTACTGCGGTTAACATCTCAGAAACTAGTTTTCTCTTAAATTTCTTTTCCTTTTCTCGGTTAGGTTTTGGATTTTTCGGATTCTTCTTGCTTCTGCATATTCGTTTGCTCAGATTTCTGAAATTTGAGATAATGCAATGGTTCACATATTGGCTGTTTTGATTATTTGTTTTCATGCTTGCTGATTTCTGGATTTGTGGATTCGATTTTGGATTTTGGTTCAATTTTTATTTCGGATTTTGCAAGAATATCAGTTTTTTGGATAATGATATTCGTTTTCTCAGATTTTGATATGGAGAAGACAAGCTACATGTTATTTGTGATTGCTTTCCACTCGGAAAACGGCAATGTGATTTTCATATTACACGGCTTTGATATTTACGAATATGAAATTGGTAGCAACAAGTCTGAGAAAGTTTTCAAATTTTCTAAATTACCGGTCTCAAGTTGTCTGATCATGTTGTTTTTTGGATAATTATTATTTTTTTGGGTTGAATTTGGATTGATTATTTTTGGGTTGAATTTTTTTTGTGTATTTTTGAATATTGGTTTTGCAAAAAGGTGGTTAGGCTTTCGATCGCGCAGGTGTTGACGGTGATTTCACAGAAGCATAAGTCGGCGCTTAGAGAAGCTTACAAGAACAAGAAATACTTGCCTCTCGATCTCCGTCCCAAGAAGACCAGGGCCATCCGCAGAAGGCTTACGAAGCACCAGGTACTCTTTCTTTCCTTGCTTTTATATATTCACGCTTTCTTTCTTGTTTTTATATGCATACTTTTTTCCATATTGTTAGTTGGTGCTACAATGTGATAGTTGGTGCTACAATTTAGAAGCCTCTCGCATATGGATGTCGACTTCATACCTTGTTGATGGCATTTCCATAGGAATTGTTATAGTGATTGAGGGTTGCATTCAGCTACGCCTTACTCCTAGTAGAGATAATCCTGATTGAGGGTTGCCAATGTATTGTTCACTTCATTGCTATTATTAAATTAAACTCATCAGCGTGTGTTTAAATGGCTCGCTTTGGTTGTTTTATTGTAGGATAATGGCTCACTTAGGATTAGTCAAAAGTGAAAGTCTGAGAAAGAGGAAGATAGTGGCTTTGCTTTTACATTGGTTGAATATTATTGTTGCGTGAAAACTCGCAAGTATATGAATCGCACAAGTAATAAAGTGTACAAGAGTACAGATATCGATCCCACGAGGATTGTGTTTAGCTTTCGTTATATACAAATATTGATTAACTTCTATGATTGTTGTTTTTTATATATTTTTATAACTAAAAGAAAATAAAAATGCAAGCAATTGCAAATAATTGAGCTAGGACCTCCTAATTTCTCCTTGATTGCGAAATGCTAAAGCTGTGCTGAAGAAATGCTACAACATTTTGTACTAGTTAACCAAACTCAAATTTGTGCATAAAGTTCTTCCGAATTAATTATGACTATAACTCCTCAAACCAATTTCATCATATTCCTATGTGAATCTAGTTAATGGAATTCCCATTTTAAGTTCGGGTTTATTAGGTTATACAAGGTAAACGATATATTCCTATACCTTCTACAAATCAATATATTCCTATATTGAACATGCATCATCCATGTAAAGTCCAACCTAAATTAATTTTTCCAAATCAATCTAAGTCTAGTTCTACATTTGATTTCCATCAAAAATAGAAATTAAGCAAGTAAATACACATGAATGAACAAGCACAAGAATACCATAAACAATCCAAAAACTAAAACTAAAACATCACAATCTTAGTTCCACTAGGAGCCTAGCTCACAAAATTAACTAAATAACATCAAGGGTTTCATCATTTTTAGAGATTACAAAAATAAAGAGAATAAATATGGGAAAGAAATCACCAAATGGAGGTGTCACAAACTCCAAAACCTCTTCCCAAAATCTTCATCTTCCTCCATCTTGAAGCTCCAAAATGAATTCTCCCTTAATAATTTATGGAAAATAAAATCTAAATCTAATAAAATAAAAATATTTGTTTTGGGATTTTCTTGAAAAATTGGCTGAAAAGCCTTATTAAATTCCTTCACCCTTTTTCTCTCGGGTTTTTCTCTGTTTTTTTCTTCCCCCTGGCTGCTTGTCTGAGGGCTGGCATTATTTGGGTTCAAAAACCCTTCATCTCGTGCACAGAGGAGAGCTGCTAATTGAGCTCAGTTGGAGGAGTACGCTCGGACACGTGGCGCGCCTCAATTAGAGGGTTTGGATTGAAAGGACACGCAGCGCTCTCTGGTTCGCTGAGAGAGAGAGTTTCACGCTGGTTTAGATGGAATCGCCGCACCAGATCCCGCGGGCTGCTGAGTGGGGGACAGCTGGACACGCGGCTTGCTGGGATTGGCCGAAGAACCGACGCGGTGCTGCGGAGACGCGCTCTTGTCTGGAGTGATTCCACGCGCCCGATCTGGACCGTTCACCCTGCGATCAAACGGCTCGCGTGGCGAGTTTTGTGCTAGTTTCACTTGCGCGAAGGAATTCTGTTTTGAGGCTGATTAAAATTCAAATTTTACTTATTTTCTCTTGCATTTCTCTCCCAATTTGGATTTCAATTTGCACTTAAGCCCACCTACCACCAAAATTAAATTACATAATGAGGAAAATAATTATTTTGAAAGGAAACTAAATAAAAATAAAATAAAATAAAATAAAAATACCTAAAACAAACTAAAAATAAAATTAATTCCAAATAAAATAAAATGAAATAAAAATAAGGTAAATGTATTAAAAACTAAATAAATTCTCAAGAACAAGTATACTTTTTAATCCACAAAAGAGGCTAAATAACTCCATTTCATGGAGTTATCAATTATGCATGTAGTGCAATGGTTCTTTGAATTGATGGAAAGAGCGGTGATGGAGGATTAGAACCAATATGACTACAGAGACAACTTTATGTGCTCGACGTGTTTGTTCATAGGCAATATGTTTATCAACTAGCTTACGCAAGTGATGTCATATGCAGAGATCAATTAAGGATGAATAGAAATGCCTTCACTAATTTGTGCACATTGCTAGAAACTAGGGGTGGGTTGATAGTGTCTAATTATTTGCAAGTAGATGAGCAAGTGGCTATGTTTTTACATACCATTGCTCACCATGAGAAAAATAGAGTTATGAAATTCCATTTTATGAGATCTGGACAAACGGTTAGTAAGTACTTTCACAATGTCTTGCATTCAATCATTCAACTTCATGGAGTGTTATTTGTTAGACTTGAGCCGGTTGCAGATAACTCAACCGATGATAGGTGGAAATGGTTTAAGGTACGTACCTATTACTGTGTTATGTTTAAAATGGGTAGCACCCATGGTGTAATTAGTAATTATATCTTTTATATATTATAGAATTGCCAAGGTGCACTAGATGGAACCTATATTAGGGTGAGAGTGCCTATGACAGAGAGACCCAAATACCGTAATCAACATGGAGCTATTGCAACAAACTACCTGCAATCGCAACAAAGATTTACACTCCAGCTCGGAAATGCATTCTCAAACAAAATAACAAAACAATTCAAGAATCGAAATCATAACAATAAAAAAAGCTAGAAACTTGTTTGATCAGCAAATGAGAAAAAGAGACAATGCAGTACTAAATTCCAATTCCCCTTCTGATAATCTGACATTTAATAAGCCATTTCAATTCAACGAACCAAAATATTTCACCTAAGCATAGTTTTGATCTGCCACAGCTTAATACACAAAATTGATAATCCATTATCCGTCCAAATTCTACGCTTCCTAGCTGGAATCAAACATATATATACATAAATGTGTGTGTGTATACATATATAAGCAATACAGAATTGATGTTTCAACAGCATATAATATAAATGCCGGGAAAAATATGAAACTTTAGATCTAAACTACACAAAAAGCAGAGTAGATATAAATATGGAATAAAAATAAAAAATAAAGTTGAATGTGGCTCTGTTTAATTGCTGAAAAGACGGGGAAATTAAGAACAGGAAAAAAGTTTCCAGATTTCTAATAACACATAGATTTAGGTGGGACCCAAAAATTTTTTTTTTTCTTTTTTTTTTTTTAATTCAAAAGACGAGAAAAGATTGAAACAAAACACTGCAGGCAATGAAAATGTGGAATCCATGTGCATTTCAATTTTCGTCTCCAGAAAAGTTTCTTTTCCCGTCAAATTTTCCCACTAACCAAACAGCTGTTGGCTGCTGCATTGATCAAAGTCAAACTCACCTTGGAACAATGGCGGTTTTTGCTCGTATTAGATCCTTAAATGACGTAGTTTTGGAGAGTTAGCATGAAGTCTCCGCCGGGAATGTGACAGGAAACCAACAGAAGAGGTTTGAGGAATTTCAGGGACGAAACGAGAGAGATTGTCCTTGGAAGAGACAGATGGGATCTGAGAGAGATTCTGAAATCGAACAGAAAAAAATATTAAGAAAACAGGACACTAACCATGGGGTTCAGTTTGGAGCCTTAGATTAAATCTACCGGCCAGGATAAAGAGTTGGACGAAAGTCCAAATGCACACGGTTGTAGGCTATACGCTTTGTACATGTTTTATTTGGGTAATTTGCACCGCTGGTCCTTTAACTTTTTAATAAGTGACACTTTAATTATTATTCTTTTAATTTTGACAAAATGATCCTTCAACTCTCAAAGAGTTGGCAATTAAGCCATTTCCATTAACTTTCGTTAAATTTTTAACAGATTCTTGTACTTTATTTGTCATGTGACCTTTATTTTAGTGAAAATATCAAAATACCCTCAACCATAACAAAGCTCAAACTCTTAGGGGTTGTTCTTTTGCAACGAAACTCAAAAAAAGTTTGAACTCGAGTTACAATTTTATTCAAGTTCATGTTCTTTTGTAAAACTTGAATTTAAACTCGAGTTTGGAGCTCAACTCGAGTTCAAGTTTCCCCTTCAACTCGAGTTCAAGTTTCCCCTTCAACTCGAGTTCATAAACTCGAACTTAAGTTAATGAACATTATTTTTTCTATTCTTAAAAATGCCATAATTTTTTCGTTTTAATTCTGATTGAGATGATTTTTTTTTCTATGCATTTACAACGAAAAGACGAATAAAACCCCACCCGTATACCCTATTAAAATTTTTCATTACCATTGAGTTTTTATTAAAATACTATCTAAATATAAATTTAAGTTTTGATCCACCTAAATACAAATTTAAAAATATTCTCAATTCAAATTATAACTCAAATATGCACATCAAAACACAAACTCAAATTACAACTTCAACTCAAGTTATAACTCAAACTCAACTAAAAATCATCACTCAAATTACCCTAACTCAAAAATATAAAAGAACAACCCCTTAATTTTTTTTAAAATCTTTGATATTTGCATGAGACAAACCAAAAAATTAAATTGTTTTTAGTTTATTTTCCCATGGTAGGAAAAAGAAAAAAACTCTTCTCTAACCTTACTATCTCTTCAAATGGAATAACTCCAATTTCTCAAGAAATTACTTTTATTTTTTCTCAATCTATCAAAAATTCAAACCCATAATCATCAAGCGAAAATGAGAACACAAACTTTTTTTTTGAAAGGACACAATCCGAAATTAACAGACATTACCTAAACATTTAACAAACATAAACTACAAATCACTCAAAAAAACATGACAATCCGATTAATGCATGACTGTCAAACATCACACAAAGAAATATTCTTCATCAAGAGAAAACAACTTGATGGAAAACTAAAAAAGAAAGTATATCATAACAATGTTTGACATCTTTTTCTCTTTTTTTTTTCTTTCATTTTTTTAAAAATTTTCCTCAACATTGTTGATCCCCAAACAAGATGTAGAACAATGGAGAAGAAAGTCTCACAACGACGAAGATCGACGAGGGCGCGAAGGGCTGGTGCAGGGCAGATCTAGTATCAGTTTCATTAGGTGAAATATTTTGGTTCGTTAAATTGAAATGGTTTATTAAAGTAAGATTATCAGAAGGGGAATTGGAATTTAGTACTTCATTGTCTCTTTTTCTCATTTGCTGATCAATCAAGTTTCTAGCTTTTTTTATTGTTATGATTTCGATTCTTGAATTGTTTTGTTATTTTGTTTGAGAATGCATTTCCGAGCTGGAGTATAAATCTTTGTTGCGATTGCAGGTAGTTGTGACAATCTTGTGGGAACTTACAACTGGTTGTCTCTTCTACAAAGCAATAGATAAAACAAGCGTTCTCACGCTGAACACCTTATCAAGCATTGTGCTTGAGGTATCTCGGGATTCTATTGAAAGAGTTGTTGTTTCTATCTTCTTTTCCTGCTCGATTTGCTGCTTTATGCTTGAGTTAATTTGGTATTATGATTTTCTAACAATGAAGCACGTGTATGGTTAAAGCATTGTGAGGACAACAAAAGTGGATGAAAGTAAATTTATGAAGAGAGGTGCAGGAACAGAAGATAGGGAGTTGATCCATGGATTCGGGAGAGTACGAGCATGACATGGCCTCTCGAGAAGTTTGTGCAAATGGAGTTTGCATGAAAGCAACAGATGTTGAGGCCAAGCTTGATGAAGGAAATATTCAGGAGGCAGAATCTTCATTGCGAGAAGGGTTATCACTCAATTTTGAGGTAATTTTTTTTATTATTATTTTTGTGTGTGTGTGAGCGCGTGTTCATGCGCGCGCGCGTTTGTGTGTGTGTTGCAATCAATTACTCACTGCACTCATGAAATACTTCTTCGTTTTGAATTATATTCATGAGATAAAGGTGTCGCCTTGTATGCATAGTTGCAATTTGACTAACAAGAAGGGTGATCTTCTCTTTCAATTAGCTTATCTAGTCTTTGTTTCCACACCCTTGTGGGAAATAGCATAGCAGAAAACAAATTTTACTTCAGAAAAGAAAAAAATGTAGAAAAAAAGGGGGAGCGAGACGGTTATCAAACCTTATAAAATAAGTCTTAGATACTCCATCATGATGAAGAAGCAATTCTTTGTAAAATGTGATACAGAGTATTTATAGCCTCAACAAAAAACGATGCCTGGAGGCTGGAGGAAATCCGCCTTTTATCTTACTTGCTGCGTTCAGTAGCTATTGGTGCATTCAGTAAATATATATATATACACACACACACACACACACAGAGTTTTTGATTATGGTTTATTTTAATTATTTTTATCATATGCAATTTTTTGTGCTGTTCTAACTATGTAGCATTTTTTGGGGACAATTTTTGGTAACTAAGAATGATAATCTGCAGGAAGCAAGAGCTCTTCTCGGAAAGTTGGAATATCAAAGAGGCAATGTAGAAGGTGCTCTTCGAGTGTTCGAGGGTATCGATCTCCAAGCAGCTATTCAGCGATTACAACCTTCTCTTGTTGAAAAACCACCTTCTAAGAAGGGTCGAACTCGCACTGAATCACAGCATGCAGTCTCGCAGCATGCTGCTAGCCTTGTTCTTGAAGCCATATACTTAAAAGCCAAGTCTCTCCAAAAGCTGGGGAGATTAACTGGTATAGCAGACAGTTGCTTTAATAGTTAATTGATTGTTCTTTGGAGATTAATGAAAAACCTTTAATTGCTTTTCCCGTTTCTTCTTCGCATTTCCTTAAAACGTTGACCTGGAATGAAAATGGAGTCTTGTTTAATGATTTGCAGAGTCTGCTCAAGAATGTAAGAGCGTGCTTGATGCAGTAGAAAAGATATTCAAGCAGGGCATACCTGATGTAGAAGTAGATAACAAATTGCAAGAGATAGTCAGCCACGCTGTGGAGCTCCTTCCAGAGCTTTGGAAGCAGGCTGGATGGCATCAAGAAGCAATTTCTGCTTATAGACGGGCCCTTCTCGGTCTCTGGAACCTTGAGAACGACTGCTGTACAAGAATTCAAAAGGCATTTGCAGTATTTTTACTGTACAGTGGAGTAGAGGCTGGCCCACCAAGTTTAGGTGTTCAAATTGACAGCTCATACGTACCCAAGAATAATTTGGAAGAGGCAATACTGCTTTTGATGATTCTCTTGAGGAAATTTCACCTTGGTAAGACTAAATGGGATCCATCGGTGATGGAGCACCTAACATTTGCACTATCTGTATGCAACCAAACTTCGGTTTTAGCAAAGCAAGTTGAAGAGATCATGCCTGGAATATATCATCGGGTTGACCGTTGGAACTCTTTAGCTCTTTGCTATAGTGGAGCAGGACAAAACAAAGCTGCTTTGAATCTACTAAGGAAGTCTCTACACAAACATGAACGACCGGATGACCTCATGGCCTTGCTATTGGCTGCTAAGATCTGCAGTGAGGATTCTTATCTTGCTGCAGAGGGAGTGGGCTATGCAAAGAGGGCGATCAGTAATGCTGAACAACAGGCTGAGCATTTGAAGGGTGTGGGTCTTCACATGTTGGGTCTTTGTTTGGGAAAGCAAGCTAAAATTTGCTCTTCTGACTTTGAGAGATCTCGTTTGCATTCCGAAGCTTTAAAATCATTAGATGGAGCAATTGCGTTGGAGCACAACAATTCGGATTTGATTTTTGACTTGGGAGTTCAATATGCAGAACACCGAAATCTGAATGCTGCTTTGCGCTATGCAAAAGAATTTATTGACGAAACAGGAGGCTCCGTAATAAAAGGTTGGAGATTGCTGGCTCTTGTTCTGTCCGCTCAACAGCGATTTTCAGAGTCTGAAGTGGTTACGGATGCTGCTTTTGATGAGACTGCAAAGTGGGATCAAGGACCCCTGCTCAGGCTTAAAGCAAAGCTAAAGATCTCTCAGTCGCTTCCCATGGATGCCATTGAAACCTATCGCTATCTACTTGCTTTGGTTCAAGCCCAAAGAAAATCTTTTGGGCCTTTCAGAGTTAATCCTCAGGTCAAATTCTTGTCCTGTTTTTCAAAGCTTACATTGTTTTCCCAGAATCTCATTTAATCAAGCGTATCAGTTGCAAATGACAAAGGACTATCATATATCGTGAAATTTCTTGGTAGGAAATTTAGGCCACTAATCATTTTCGTATTGATTTCAGTTGAGTTGAATGCTGATGTAATGATATTATTTATGCTATTGATTATTATTTTTGTTTTCTAAATTTTATGAAATAGTTAGATAAGTTTTCCTTCATGAGAATTTTTTTCAAAGTAATTAATGAAATGAAGTTGATTATATCAACGTAAAACTAAGCGGATTTGTGAGTGTTTCCTTTCCTTTCTTCCTGATGAAAAATTGGCAATGTGGTAAGGTTTTCAGCTTAAAGTGATGTACAAAAAGCTTTGGCATTTTCTAAGATCTGAACCTGTTCTGTAACTTCCATGTGACATGGTCAAACGAGCAATTGTTGTATCATTATATCTTTTTTCTACCAGTTTTTTTCCCCCTTTAGAAGATGTATGGTTGTTCAATTGACGTGTGCTCTTATATTATTTAAGCCTTATAGGTAATGGTAAACTGGTAGAATTTCTTGATCAATGAACTTCATTTTAGCCCCCCACCTTTTTTTTTAATTTTTTATTTTAACGATAGGTTGAGGATGATAAATTCAATGAATTTGAAGTATGGCACGGTCTGGCAAATTTATACTCTAGTCTTTCACTTTGGAAGGACGCGGAGATATGCTTGGGAAAAGCCAGACAACTTAGACAATACACTGCAGAAACACTGCACACAGAAGGCAAGAACTCAAAATCCATTAACTATTTTATTGCATTTTTCTGAAGATTATAGTTTATTTCTTTGTTAGTGTTGATTCCAGTCTTCTTGATGTATTACATTATTTTAAGGACCGATAAACACTCTGGACAAACTTCTCACAAGGGCCAAGTCGGCTGGTCCTTTTATTGATGGGGCTAAAATTTTCTAAAAACAAATAAAACAATGTCATAGGTTATTTGTTGAAGGGCTTTTAAAACATATTAGAAGCTGGTACTCAAAAAGTTGTTCCAATACCTATATGCTTCAATAAAAGCATACTTGTCGGGCCTAATCTATATTTGACGCCCTATGTTTGACCATAAAGTGAATGTGATTCTTCAGGTGTTATGTTCGAAGGACGTGGGCAAACACAAGAAGCTCTGGGCACTTATATTGGGGCTTTTCTAGTAGACCCACACTATGTTCCTTGCAAGATCTTGCTTGGTTCTCTGATGTTGAAGATGGGCTCAGATGCGTTGCCTGTGACAAGAAGCTTACTCTCAGACGCATTAAGGATAGATCCCACAAATCGCAAGGCTTGGTATTACTTGGGGATGGTTCACAGAGATGATGGGCGAATTGCTGATGCCACAGACTGCTTCCAGGCAGCTTCCATGCTCGAAGAATCCGATCCGATAGAAAGCTTCAGCTCTCTTTATTGACTGGCACCTGCTTATATCATGGTTTAACTTCTTACAAGTCTTTGGTCTCTAGCCATCATCTCCTTGAACCTTTTAAATGTGGAACTTAATACATATATATGGCTATAAAGAACTAAAAGCAACAACAGTCGAATGACATGGTATGGAGTCATTTTGGCATTTTCCGAATCATCAGAAGGCACAGGGAATCAGTTGAAGGCAGAAACTATTGTATTTAACATTTGCTTTGGAACTATAAATTATGAAAGGACAAAGGCAAAGAAGCTGACTTTGAGTTTAAAATGGATGAGTTGTGGAGAATGTGGACTTCTTTTGTTGGTGGGTGTTGAGGAAGAGGAGTTCAGATGCGGAAGCTTTTAGCAATGTATTCATTACTTTCAATAATTTGTCTTTTTTGCTCACCTTTGTAAATTAAAATTTGTTCGACTTGGCTAGCATTTTTTTATGGAAGAAAATACATATATTGATTCGTTCCATCTTTTGTTGCGCACTTCTATTTGTTCTTATCATGCTCATTATGTTCTAAAGTTTTATTTCAGTTAATTCAATTGTACGTCAAATGTGTTGTTTAATTCAATTTTCAATATGAAACTAAAGCAATAAAGTGAAACAGTGGTCAATACCTGGGTGTTAACATCTGAGTCAGATATCCTTTTATTTTTATTTTTATTTTTTTTTTCTTAGAGAAAGGTATCTAAACTATTGTCACAATACGCAAGCAAATGTCCCACCAATTATTAGTTTTGTAATAACCAATCACTTTCATACCTATAAAACGAAACGGAATTTTTGGTACTCATCACCAAAACGAAAGGGCAGCAGAAAAGCGACTTGTTGACATACGGTTGATAAAAGAAGAGGGTTATACATACATAGATACATACATACAATACATACATACACACACATATATATATAAGTTTTCAATTTTTATGGTTTCATCGGTGACTATAAAATAAGATTAAATTAATAACGTGACGTGTTAAGAATTCAACTTCATTAATTGTCAAAAAAATAATTAATTTGTTATAACTACTTGATTAATATAAAAAATTTAAAATATTAAAACCACCTACGCATATATATATATATATATATATATATATAGAGAGAGAGAGAGAGAGAGAGAACATTCAAACAATACCAGATGTATGAATATAAACTTCTACAATACCAGATATATAAGTATAAACTTCTCCAGAAAATAAGGGCATACACAACTTTATAAAGTCAGTACGACTAAACAACAGACTCGATTCAATATTATTTATATATATATATATAGAGAGAGAGAGAGAGAGAGAGAGAACATTCAAACAATACCAGATGTATGAATATAAACTTCTACAATACCAGATATATAAGTATAAACTTCTCCAGAAAATAAGGGCATACACAACTTTATAAGGGCATACACAACTTTATAAAGTCAGCACAACTAAACAACAGACTCGATTCAATATTATTTAGCATGTCCAACACCAACGCAATGATAGAATACGCTACACATAAACCAACAATGTTTCGACTGATTAACCAAGGGGAAAAGAGAATTATCAACAAATTTTCACAGCCAGCCCAAATCAAATTGGCAATAACGTGTTAGCCAGATCCCATGTTAAACACTCCACAATGCATAGTTATACATAATTTTAATAAGAGGGGTTTGGCCTAGAAGTACTACATACGGGAGATCAAAAGGGGGACAGACACCGAGCCGTCCTCACCCATGACCGGCTGGAACAAATCCAACTCCCCGTAACGCTCGAGGACGCGCATCCTGCAGTCTTCAGCAGCCATCTGTCCAGTTGCGAATGCACCGTGCACGGATCCAGGATACTCCATGCTTGTTGCCTCCCCAGCAAAGAATATGTTATCAACTGGGATCCTTAGCCTCTCATACAGATCGTGTGATTTGCCTACTTCATCATAGCTATAGGACCCTAATGAGTTAACGTCTGTGCCCCAATGTGAAACAAGATAGTGAATCTGCATAAATAATAAGGGATAAATCCATGTAAGAATTCGAATACTGAAAGTTGAAAGATATAGTAAGATAATATAAATATATATATGTATGTATATATATTTAAGACAATAAAGAGACGTTTAGTTCATGAATTAGAACCATGTTATTAGAATTATTTTTGATTTACGTGTATTTTTTGTGAGAGAAAATACTGCAGCGAATCACGAACCATGATTCGAATCAGGGAACAAATCTAAGTACCAAACATCCTCTAAGACTTACTGGGTCAGAAGCATCGGGAAGGATGTTCTTGAGTTGCAAGTATGCAAAATTTGCAGCTGCTTCATCAGACATTTTCTCGATGTCTTTAGCGAGCTGCCCCGCAGGCATATAGACAAGGACAGGATGGCCAGTTGCCTTGTGGAGATTTAAAAAGTAGCTGCACCCATAAGTTGTCTCCGCAACAACTCCCAAGAACTCAACATTTGGCCAGAAGACCTTATCGAAGTGCAATGCTATTTTATTCTCAAGACCAATTCCAAGATCAGCAATGGCTGCTTCCTTCCAGTCTGGAAGCTTTGGTTCAAACTTTATGATATTTGCTTTCAGCACACCAAGAGGAACTGCAATAACCGCAGCATCTGCAGCAAAAGTTGTCCCATCTTCTACCGTTACCTTCACTCCATTATATCTCCTTGCAATTTTTGTAACCCTGAAGACAAGAACGATAGATGCTGGTTATGTCACAGACCAGTTACTGAACAGCAAAATGAGATGTGGGATTAGAAGGAAATTTATACCTGTGACCCAAGCGAACGTCAAGACCTTTTGCAAGGGTGTTAACAACTGGAAGGTATCCTCTTACCATCAGTCCATGACCACCAGGAAGCAATTCCTCCTGTATGTATGAAGGAACAAAGTTACAGTACGCACATGGCCATTTTCCGCAATAGTCGGCATAAAAGAAAGATTCCAACTCCCCCTTCCCAAGCCGCCACCACCACCACAACCACGATAATACTAGAACATTGACTTTGACAAAATGTGATGTGATTTCAAGCTCTAGCCACTTTAAACATCAACTTTGCAAAACTTCTCAGAAAGTCAGATTTTGTATCGTGTTTGCTAAACCACAATATTGTCTGATACAGTATTTACTTGGATTCTCTACTTTTGGGTATCGTATACATTATCTTATAAAAGATTAAATCCATTTCATGTAAGTTTTTCCCCTCTTCACTTCCCTTCTCTTCCTAGAGTTGTTGGTTAATTAACTGCTACAGAACAAGTAGATCACTGTATCTTGACGCAAGAATTTCCAACCCAATCTAATCAAACCAGAGTTGAAAGTAATATTACCACTGTCGAGACTTGACAAGGAAAGAGATATTATTGATTTCAATTGTAAACCAACCACAAGTCGCAAATCATGCTTCAAACTTGGAATACAAGTTAAGCTAGGGTTGAGAAGTATGGATTGAACCTCAAGTTGGGCTAGGGTTAAGGTTGAAAGTTTTGAATCTCAAACTTAGCAAGGGTTGACCTCCAACCTGATCTATCTTTGCCCAACTTACACTCCCAAAATTTAGTAAAAATCCCAGTCCCAACAAAAAGAAAAACAAAGAATCTACATTTAGCACAAAGTGTCAGTTTCACATAAGCGACAGTGCACATTAAACAAATTCCCATAGTGTTCACCATGAAATTCAGAAATGAATTGTAATTTAAATTTTGTGATAGATCAGAAGTTTGCCTGATCCCAGCATTTAACTGAGATTGTATCAGCATCTGCAGAAAACCAGCCTTCCATTCTGCACAAATACCACTGAAGTACCTTATGGGCAAGCCCCTCCAACCTGTATTAACAGACCAATTTCAATAACTCCGTATAGAATGTCAAAAATTACAACAGTGAAACAAATTCTGGCATCAGTATGTCATCAAACCTTAGGTCTGGTCTCCTATCAAAAACAATAGAGAAAGCACGCCTTATGGACATGTCCTCACTGAATTCTTGTCTTACTTTATCTGTCTGCATTGTGGGGGGGAACCACTCAAAAGATGCTCATAGGGAAGAAAAATAACATTGCAGCCTCAAATTTTATAAGCAACTCCAGTGATCAAGTAAAAGTAACGGTATTCCATTTAGTATTATTCCCTAATCAGAAGTCTATTTCCCAAAAACTAAAAGAAAAATAATTGGATATGGACAAGACAGATGACACACCTCTTCCAAAATGCTCTCAAATGCCTCACCAACTTTGGCAACCAACTCTTGTGGAACTTGCTTTCCATCCACGTCAAAGAGTGCACAGCTGCAAAAGAGAAAATATGAAGACATGAAAAGCTGTCTATAAACAAGTAGAATAAAACGCCAACTCAACAAAAATGAGATTTCGGGTTTACGAACGGTCCTTGCATCTTCAGGTGTCTTAAATACAACAATTATATAAGTTAACAGCCTAAACTAGTTTTAATGTACAAAAATGTAAGTTCACAGCAACGAGGAATTTTGACTCTCTGTAGATACCAAAATACTAAAACCTATGTTCTTTAGAAATTTTACGCAACTACTTAGCACACAATCATATAGATGAACTCTGCTCAATCTATAGCTGCCAGACAAGCTTATTCTGTTTCCTTACAAATAAGATTGATGAGCTGGGCAACTCCAACATCAAATTTTGAATTCGAGTTTTGCTGCAGTGAAAAGCTCTCAGAAACAGTCACCTCTAACTTTTTTGCTACAGTTAAAAGCACTCACATAAAGTCACATCTCAACTCGAATTAAAAACTTGAATCAGCGAACTAAACGGGCAGTAGAAGTGGCTATTACGCAAGTTATAGGAAATTACTTATGAAGTAGGTAGTCTAAAAGGGGAAAAAAATCATATAGTACCTCTCTAGATCATGGTCATACAAAACAGAGTTATCCCCACTAGTACGGTACAGGGGCAAACCAAGCCTCCCTATCAATGGTGCCAAGGGGTTGTCTTTACAAACTCCATGCAACCTGAAGCACAATAATGAGATTCATCTATCAAATACCAAATTTAAAGATCAAATTATCTTAGCACCAGGAAACATTTAGGAAAGAACAAATTTACCATGATGCACCGAGGTCAACAGGAAAACCAAATGAGTAATCCGTGTGAACTCGACCACCAAGTCGGTCCCGTGACTCCAGCACCATCACCTGATCAACAATTTCCAATGTCAGACCATTGAAACAGCAACAGGGAAATATATATGGACATAAAATTCACTAAAAGCAGAAAACAAACTCTCTTAAAGATTCTATCCACAAAGACTATAAAAAGTCTATAACACAACTACAACAGATAACAGCTAACTCATTCAAGCATTTTTGGACCTTGAAAAGCTTCCGTAAAAAATATGTTCTCTACATCCTTCATATTTATTTTTTTTTAAACTTGAAATATAATAAATTTACTTAAAGAATCGCTTAGGGCCGTTATAGTCTGCTACTAGAATTTGATAAGCAAGAGACGCATTGATCTTCAAAATCTAATTCTGGTGTCATTTTCTATGAAATTTATATATAGATATATATATATATATATTATGCACCCTCAAAATCTATATATATATATATATATATATTTATTTAAGAGCAGAATCTGATATTGAGAAAATACAATATATAAGCTGATTTTTCTCAGAGTAAGAAAAAAAAGGACCTAATAAGTTACGTCATGCATAGTTCACACAGTGAAGTACAAAGAAATTATTTATTTTGAAACAAAGGAACTCATTTTACCTGAAAAGAGGCATCGTGAAGAGCACGCGCCGCCGAAAGGCCACCAATACCACCGCCAATGACGATAACCGACGGAGACGTCGTTTTCATCCTCTCCACATTGGAATTGCAAGCAGCTACATTACCCAAAATTAATTAATTAACAAAAACTAAAATTACTCCTTTCAAAAAAACTAAAAATTACTGACTTCAACACTTTTTATAATCCGAATAATTTATTTTTAAAGGGAGAATAATAATAACAAAAGCTTAAAATAACCATTAAAACACCAAAATTAAGAAAAAAAATTAAAAATTATAACAGAAATAAGAAATAAACCTCTGCGCAACTGGGGACTACTCCTGTTTCCAGACTCCATGATCTAGCGACAATCGACTGGGATTACTTTTCCGATTAAAATTATAATCAGAATTAAAATTGGAATTACTTAGCAAAGGATCAATGGATTTTTTCTCGTCGAATTTAAAGAGAGGAGGCAATTGAGGAGAACAATGGAAAATAAAGATTAAAAGACACGTTATGAAGTGATTGGAACCGGTGGAATTCAATAATATTATCAGCCCCAGCTTCCCAAACCAGCTCATGCAGATTGTCTTTTCTTATTAAATTTCTCTTAAAAAAATAAAAAAAAACAAAAACAAAAAAAAAGTCTTTTGCTTTCTTCCTCTCTCTCTTTCTCTCCTACGATTCAAGAGATCTGGAGATGGAAATGCGGTCAGATTTTAATCTAGGGCTTTCGGAAGTGGGCGAACGGGAGACGCAAGCGATCGGAGGATGTTTCTTTGTTGGGAAAGAAGGAAAAGAGGAGAGAGAAAGTTCTAGAGAGAGAAAGTGGATGGAACGATCTTTGCTGCGTAGGTGTGCGATTGGGAATGGTGAGTCCAGAATTCGGGATCGGATTTGGATTTTATAGAGTTTGTCCTGCCAGCCAAACACGAACGAACCAATTCACAATCGCGGGGTTATGAGAGAGATTTGTACTCGCTGAGGTTGGACGACGCGTGGTAAGAGTAGTTTTGGAAAGTGAAATTACTGAATTGGGCACAAAAGTGTAGTTGATGTTGATCTGTTTAGATTTTGTAAAAAAAAGAGTGATGCCCGCCGCGTGTGGTAATTCACCTTAGTGATTCGTGTTAATTTCTTTATTAATTATATTAAAAAATATTAATTTAAATATGATTTTTTATTAAATATGTTAAAAATATTAATTTAAATATAATTATTTATTAAATGTGTTAATTAGTATAATTCGTGTAAATTAATATATTAAATAAATAATTAATATAATTAAATTATTTAACATGATTAAGACATGTTTAACATATTTATTGGACAATTTACTTTTTCCTTTAAAAAATAAATAAATTTTACCTATAAATATTAAAATTCACATTATTTATATTTAATATGTTATATAAATTTTCATGTTATATCACCTATCATTAGATTACAGATGACACATAGTTAATCGTGTCAATTTGTGTCACTTCGTGTTAAAAGGTCAACTTTAACCCAACTCATTTATTAATTGTGTTAATCGTATCAACTTATGGCCCGTTTAGTTCGCTAATTCGAGTTTTTAATTCGAGTTGAGATGTGATTTTATGTGAGAGCTTTGTACTGTAGCAAAAAAGTTAGATGTGATTGTTTGTGAGAGCTTTTTACTGTAGCAAAACTCGAATTCTAAACTCAAATCGGCGAAATGAACAGGACCTTAATTATGATCCAAACTCATTTATACGAAACTCAAACGTACTAAATTTTATACAGATTTCAAATCGTATTTTATGTCAAGACTCAAATTGACACTCTTGCCGCCCATTTTGGTTTTGGTTCTTTAAAGGCCGGAAAAAACGGAATTGCGTCTTTGGCTGCAAAATTGCATTATGGAATAGAGTGTTTTTTTTTTTTTTTTTTTTTTTTTTTTTTTTTTTTTTTTTTTATCTAATGGAATAGAGTTTTATTAATTAATAATATTACTGTTATTATTTTTCTTGGGCTATTAGGCTAATATTCCTTTTTTTTTAAGGAATTAGGCTAATGTAGATATTCCACATTTCAATTTTCGTAATTTTCTTTTAGAACAATTTATTTTATAATTAAACTATTATGTTCTAATTGATGATACATATTTATAAAAACTGGATGGAAAATAAAGAAATCTGTTGAGTAAAAACTCTAAAATATTTTATTTTCACAAAAGGAAAATTAGCATTTTCTTTCTTGCATGAGGCTGAAAATATTATATTACTTATAAAGGAAAGTATTAGTGGAAATAAAAATATGCAAAAACCGACGGTGTCATCCTGTCTCCGGGCTGGCATCATCGAATCACTTATTAGCATTAGATTTTAAATTCTCTTTTATTGACTGCATTTAACTCAAAGTATCAATTATTAGCCTATTCATTTTTTTTTTGTGTGTGTGTACATGATATGATATCAATGCAATAAATTTCTTTCTTTATTTATCTATAATTTATTTTTTGAAAGAATTGTTTTGTACATCTGTATGTTCTTCAAATTTTTTTAAGTAAATACAAATACGTTCTTCACTTTTTCTTTTTTTTTTTAGGGAAAATACGTTCTACAATTTGTTTACTATATTATGTGAAAGTTCATATTATTAAACGGTAAGCTAAAAACTACCAAGTTTAGGGTTTTTCCTCTCGTGATTGTGGTCCAATTTCACATTTCTTCCTCCTCCTTGAAGTAATTGCATCAAATATTCATTGCAAGTCCCTTTAAAAAAAAAAAAAAAGTTTTCATGATATTACGACTTTAACAATTTTTTTCAATAATTGTTTGTGGTCCAATTTTGTTAATTATGATGACGTTCATACTCATAAAATTGAGTTTCTTTATGATAATGAGTGTATTTGCGTATTATACATGATAATTGTCAACCTATTTCATCTTAAAGTTGCAATCTTTATTATGACCACCATTGTTGCATTTTGTACACAGAAATCTGACATTTTTGAATTTTAATATGATTCCTTTATTTATAAGGTTGCGACATTTGATTTTAGATAATTTTATGATAGAATGAAATTTGCCATTTTTTAAAATATTCTACACTACTTATACATAAGGGCGTGTCATTGGATTTTAGATACTATACATTTATGTCATTAACTCGTTTTTAAAATATTCCACAGGACAGTGATGAGAGACAATTATCGAGAACGGGAATGGAGATGAAAATAAAATTTAGTCCCCGTTTTATGACGAAGTGAGGTCAGAGAAAGTACTCTCCACACTGTTTCCGCCCATGTTAATGTGCAACAATGTAATAAAAATTGAAGCTAAGAAATAAAGAAATATTATTTATGTTTATATTTTAATGTTTTTAAACTTTTTTTGCTTATATGTTAGTTATTAATTTTAGATTTAATCTGCAATAGGTCAAGAATTTGATTTTTATCACGGTTTCTTTGATTTTAGTCTAAATTTATAATAAATTTCTACTCAATTTTTATTTTAAGTTACTGTAACTTTGAAATACATAATCCTATATCATAAAGAATGAGACGAGTATGGAGAAGGTCTTTTAATAAAGAATCCCCAACTTTAACACCGCCCCTCCATAAGCGGGGATGGAGACAGAAATGGGATAATTTAGGGATGAGAATAGAAAATCATCCTCTGCCCCCATCCCGTCCCATTACCATCTCTAATGCCGAAAACACAATTGCCGTATGACGTTAAAGAAAGGGGAACAAAAAATTACAACATTTTTTTTTTTTTATTGTGATTCTATATTCACACATTTTTTTTGGTTGAAGCTTTGGGCACGAATCATTTTCTCAGACGTAAAGGAAATTTATAATCATATTATTTTAAAAAATAAAGAAGATTTACCGTAAAAAAAATTCATAGTAAATGTTCATTTTTAACATTATATAGGAATGTAATAGTAAATTTTCTATAGGAATTTTCCTTTATTTTTTTTTAAACAAATGTTATAGTGCATTTTTATTATGTAAAAAATGCTTACAGTTTCAGCCATAAAAAAATAAAAAAAAAAAGCAAAAAAAAAAAAAGAATAAAGAGAGATAGAGAAATGATAATATTAAACTAAGGAATTACAATGAAATGGTTGGTATAAAAAAATGAAATTGTAAAAAATTAATAATACTATGAAAATAGTTACGGGTAACTTTGAAATAATAAATGTGTGTCAAAAATAAATTCAGTTATTTCAAATTTATGTAGGTTGTGTATTTAAAAAGATGTGTCTAGAAAGTAAATTATGGTTTATGAATAAAACGACCCATATATGATATCTTAATAAAGAAAGTTCCATTATAAAAGGAAAACTCAATCAATTTCCGATTGAGGGTCGGTTGCCTATATATATACTGGGATCTAGTATTTTCTATCCCTGTTAGATCATTTTCAATACAAATATTAATGCTAATTGTATATATATTATTAAAAAAGTGTGATATGATGTGTTATTTTTATTTTTGCTCAAATGCATAATGTTATTTGAAATGTTAAATATACTTTTTTTTCATAATTATTAAGGTTTGAAAGTTGTAAAAGTAAACTTTTATATTTAAAATAATTAGAAAATGTAAAAATTACGATGATTACAAAAAAAAAAAAAAAAAAACATTTCAACTAATAGTAATTAAATGTCAAATTTCTCATATGCTATACTTAGTGGGAAATTTGTCACAAAGTATAATATATTAAAATTTAGCACAATAAATAATATTAAATTAGAAAGTTTTTTTACATCCAAATGCTAAATTTACAATTGGCATATTAATTGTAGTATTGCATTGAAGATATACTTTCATGACATTTCGATTCCAAAAGGAAATATACAGTTCGATCGATCAAGTTATGGCGTGGCGTATAATGTCCCTCGCGAGGTGTCATCCTCAAGTGCTTTGGCAGACTCACGATCGATGGTGGAATTTCCATGTGGAATTTATCCATTCCAAGTAAGGTAAAGCTTGTCCTTGGGCATGCTTATGATAATATCTTTCCAACTTTGGGGGATCTTTTTCGTAGGAAAATTGGTGTCTCTTCCGTTTGTGCTCGATGTGAAGCTCATGAAGAGACCACGGAACACGTTTTATTTTGGTGTGAGGCTGTTGGTGGGTTGTGGTTAGATAGTGTCTACTGGATTCATTTACAAAAACCGAAAAATGCACCCATTTTGAGTTATTTTGTATGTTGGCTCTGGCTAGTGTGGAAGAATCGATCGTGACCAGATTAGGCGTATGGGCAGTAGTTGGTTGGTGGAGTTTCGTTTAGTGGGAGTGTCATGGATTCCCCCTTAATCAGGTAAGTTGAAGCTTAATATTGTGGATGCTTCTCTTTCTTCCTAATGGGACCGGACATGGTTAGACTTGGCGGTCTCATTCGAGACCAGATAGGTTTTGTGACGGGAGCTTTTTCGAAGAAAGTTCCAGGGCCTGCGATTCTATTACAGTACTGAATGTCTAGCCATTCGAGAAGGTTTATTGTTTGCAGTGGAGAGCGCGGTAGTAAGTTCATTAGTTGCAGATATTTTCGTGTCATCCCTTACTCTAGAAATGTTTTTTCCTGTTATTATTTAAGGTCCCAGCTTGTATTACAAATATTGTGGTTGTTGAGTCTATTGACTCAGCTTGATTTAATAAGTTGCATTTTGAATTTCAAAAAAAAAAAAAAAAAAAAATTCAATCTCATGTTTGATTATAGGTGTGTTCTTTTCATAACTCAAATTTCAATTCAAACTTTTTTAACATAGTGTTTTCTCTCATAACAATGCAAATTCAACTTTTTCGTTATAATATTTTCTCTCATATAAATTTACTATTTAATTCAAGTTCTCAAATCGAATCCGCGTAGAGAACGAGCCCATATGTTTTTATAATCCAAAATGTATT